CAATTAATGCGGTCCAAGTAATATTATTAATAAATTAATTAAAGTGGTTTATTATTGTTAAAATTATGTTGGTTAATTGAGAAATGACAGTTTTATAGCTATACACTTTGATGGAAAGTGAATAGTTTTCATGACTCTTGGTTTGCATGATCATTGGACTGTATGACCTTTGGTTTGCATGACTCTTGAACTTCCTCTCTTTGCCTATAAATGTGGATGAAGCTCATCAAATAAATCATTCAATATAGAGAGGAAAAGAGAGAGAGAGAACAGTTTATAGATTTACTAGTTCCTATTTTGCAGGTTTAAATTTTTCATCTATCGCTATGGATCAAGGTATGTATCTTGATCAATTCATCTATATGTGAAAATCATGAATTCTAAAGATCTTGGTGTTAGAGTTATATAATTGCTTACATGTGGTATCAGAGCCAATGTTAAAGAACTCTTGATTTTCCTTTAAAGACTATGATTTTCCGCTTACTGATGCTCAATTTCTTTTTTAAGTTTATGCAACAAAATTATTTGGTTCCATTTAAAGTTTCGTCCAACGCTGTTAAATTGCTTCCTGAGATCAGATTATTGTTACTGTATATATCATTGTTGTGGAAGAAAGACACTTTAATACGTAGCAGAAGGAAAATAATGTTTGGTTATTTGGTTTAGGGAAATGAAAGGCACATAATTTTATTTACTGCCATTGCCATTACACTTATCATTGGTTACCAACTTCACTGTTGCAATTATTGTGTCTGGGTGCTAAGTTTATTGTTACAAATACCTGGGCCAAATATATAAATAATTAGTGGTTGCCTAATATGAATAATTAATTGTATTATCTGCCACTAATTAATTTATCATGTATTTTGTGGTTAACAAGGAAAATATAAATCTATTAATAGCCTAAATAATAACTAGAAACATTAAGTCACATATATTTTGTTTATATAATTGATGTTCGATTAATGTTGTTTGTTAGTCACCAAAGTGGCCAAACATTATAGTATTTTGAACACTAAATTATATAATTATTTGTCAATTACTATTGGTAGTTTGATGCTTATAAATGAAGATGACATTATTATTGTTGTTGTCAAGAGTATATTGACGTTCATGGATTATAAAATTATTATGGATCGCCCAAATGTTGATCACTTAATTTTATTAATCTTGAACATAAACGTGGTTAATTGATATACTTAGTTAGATGTGTTTTGTATATCCAAATATATCAGACATGTTTGATTAGACTGTATTTAATTGCCAATTAAGTAAAATTAAATTAGCATCATTATGTTTATTGTAATGGTATAACGTAGTATCGCCTAAAGGAGAACTGCGGTATACATTTATTGTTGTCTGAATCTGAACTTAAGTACATAATTTAAAACTCAAAGCATTAATGTCAGAGCATTTTATATTTTGCAGTATCTGGTCCCGTTTCTCTACATTCGCATGTTTCATCTGTACCACTGTTCAATGGGCTTAATTTCTTGATTGGTGTGAACAAGTCCAGTACAATTTAGGTGTTTTGGACTTAGACTTGCACTTCAAGTTGAGAAACATGCTGATATCACTGATGAGAGCGTGCTGATGAAAAATCTTTCCATAAAGCTTGGGAAAGATCAAACAGACTAAGCCTAATGTTTATGCGAATGAGCTTAGCAAAGAATATTAAGTCCACTATCCCTAAAACTGAGATTGCTAAGGAATATATGAAATTTGTGAAAGAACGTTCTCAAACAGCTAACAAATCACTCGCTGGTACACTGATGGGTACCCTAACCACCATGAAATTTGATGGTTCACGTACCTTGCATGAGCATGTTACTGAAATGAGTAACATTGCAGCAAGACTTAAGACTCTTGGGATGATTGTGGATGAAAACTTTCTAGTACAGTTTATCATCAACTCCTTACCTCCTGAGTATGGTCCATTCCATACGAACTATAATACCTTAAAGGACAAATGAAATGTGAATGAATTACACAGTATGCTTGTGCAAGAGGAGACAAGGCTTAAGAATCAAGGAACTCATTCTGTTCATCTCGTAAGTCATCAAGGAACTGGAAAGAAATGTAAGAAAAGGTCTGGAAAGGGCATTAAGCAAAGACCGCCAAAGATAAATGAGTCTTCTGCCCAAATCCACAATAAGGAAGACAAGAAAAATACGTGTCATTTCTGTCGTAAACCTGGACACTATAAAAAGGATTGCCTGAAACGTAAGGCATGGTTCGAAAGTAAAGGTAGGATTATTTCTTATGTATGTTTCAAATCTAATTTGACAGAAGTTCCTTATAATACTTGGCGGATTGATTTCGAATGTACCACTCATGTTACTAATATGATCCAGGGATTCCTTTCAACCCAGACCATAAATCCAAATGAAAAGTTTGTTCTCATGGGCAATCGAGTCAAAGCACCTGTTGAAGCCATTGGAACCTATCGTTTGATTTTAGATACCGGACATTGTTTAGATTTATTTCAAACACTTTATGTACCTTTAATTTCTCGTAACATAGTTTCATTATCAAAACTCGATTCCGCTGGATATTTCTTTAATTGTGGAAATGGATGTCTAAGTTTGTTTAAGCAAAATCATCTTATCGGTTCAGCTATTCTTTGTGATGGCTTATATAAATTAAAACTTGATAACCTCTTTGCCGAGACTCTTTTGACCTTGCATCATAATGTTGGTACTAAACATGGTTTATTGAATGAACAATCTACTAACTTGTGGCATAAACATTTGGGTCACATATCCAAGGAAATGATAGAAAGATTAGTAAAGAATGAAATCCTTCCTGACTTAGATTTTAGTGATCTTGAAACTTTTGTGAATTGTATTAAGGGTAAACAAACCAAACACACAAAGAAAGGAGCCACAAGAAGCACACAGCTTCTTGAGATAATACACACCAATATATATGGGCCTTTTGATGATTTGGTGGAGAAAAATATTTTATCACCTTTATTGATGACTTTTCACGTTATGGTTATGTCTATCTGTTGCATGAAAAGTCTCAAGCTATAAATGTTTTAGAGATCTTTGTCAATGAAGTTGAATGACAATTAGATGGAAAGCTGAAAATCATTAGATCTGATAGAGGTAGTGAATATTATGGAAGATATGATGAAACTGGACAACACCCTGGTCCATTTGCTAAATTTCTTGAAAGACGCGGCATATGTTCTCAATACACTATGCCGACACACCACAACGAAATGGTGTAGCTGAAAGGCATAATCGTACTCTGATAGAAATGGTTACGTGTATGTTAAGGAATTCTTCTTTACCCACTTTTTTGTGGATGTTTGCATTAAAGACTGCAAATATTTGCAAAACAGGGTTCCTAGTAAGGTAGTTCCAAAGACTCCTTTTGAACTGTGGATGGGAAGGAAACCCAGTTTAAGGCACCTACATATTTGAGGTTGCCCGACAGAAGTAAGAATTTATAATCCGCATGAAAAAAAAACTGGATTCAAGAACGATCAATGGATTTTTCATTGGTTATCCAGAAAAATCAAAGGGGTATATATTTTATTGTCCTAATCATAGTACTAGAATTGTTGAAACTGGAAATGCTAGATCATTGAGAATGGTGAAGTTAGTGGGAGTTTGGAACCACGAAATGTTGAACATGAAGTTAGAGTTCAAGTATCTCTACCCCCAACTTCTTCTAATGTTGTTGTTCCTTGAATTGTTGATCGATATGACAATTTGCCAGAACAAAAAATATCTCATAATGAAGTTGCCACTAATGAACCTGCACTAAATGAACCACAAGAAATGGAATTAAGAAGGTCACAAAGATAACGTAGACCTGCTATTTCTGACGATTATGTGGTTTATCTGTAAGAGTCTGATTTTGACTTGGAAATTGTTGACGATGATCCAGTTTCATTTTCACAGGTCATTGAGAGTGCTAATTCTGATAAATGGATAGATGCTATGAAAGATGAGTTGAAATCTATAGAGCATAATGAAGTCTGGGATCTCATCGAATTACCTGAATCGTGTAAAAGAGTTGGGTATAAATGAGTCTTTAAGACCAAGCACGACGCTATTGGTAATATCAAATGATATCAAGCTAGAATTGTTGTCAAAAGTTTTACTCAGAAAGACAGCATTGATTATAAGGAGATATTTTCGCCAGTCTCCAAGAAAGATTCACTTAGAATTATAATGGATTTAGTAGTTCATTATGACTTAGAGCTACATCAAATGGATGTGAAGACCGTCTTTCTAAATGGAAATTTAGATGAAGAAATTTATATGAATCAGCCTAATGGTTTTTCAGTTGAAGGAAATGAACACATGGTGTGTAAATTAAAGAAATCAATATACGGACTTAAACAAGCTTCCCGTCAATGGTGTCTTAAGTTCAACGATACCATTATTTCCTTTGGATTTAAAGAAAATATCGTTGATCGATGTATATATCTAAAAATCAGTGGGAGCAAGTTTATATTTTTGATTCTGTATATTGATGACATCTTGCTAGCTACTAATCATCTAAGTCTTATTACATGAGACTAAGAAATTTCTCTCTAAAATTTTTGAAATGAAATTGAAGTGCTTTGTCTTTAAAGAAGAAGTTCAAAAACAAAAGGTGTTATGAAAAGAAGTTAATAGAACAAGATCTCTATTATCAAAAAGACAGTAATAGAACAAAAAAACATTCAATCATTTTTGTAGTTATGAAAAGAAGTTAATGGGCCGTACCGAGGATCATGCTTGCACGAGTGAGTGTTCGTTACTGAATTATAAAACATTCAACCTTTTGGCAATACAACACTGGGTTTGGACATATTCACCCCAATTACAAGCAGCCCATCTTTACACAGATAATGCAAATAGTTTTCATTACTATCCCGCCCAAATCACCTGTAGAAGCAAATAAGCAAATACTAACTCAATAATGAAAACCAGAAACCAGGAATTATTGCCGGCATGAACTCAAATTTTCTTCCTTCAAGTTTCAGAACAATATCAACTTCAGCTCACAAGAACAAACAGCGGCTTGTCTCCTAGCCGATCCCGGCCCTGGAATCAAGCAAAAGCAGTCAATCAATGACTAGTACCACTACGGTGAAAACGAGCACTTAAAGAGGGCTCTAAAATAGAATACCAAATCTGTAAGATGAGTATTATGCGTTTCTATTTCATGCAAATTTAAGTATTAGGTTTGTCTCAAATAAGGTTTCATGAGGGAGGAAGATTAACAGTATGTTCTTTCTTTGTCTGAACCAATATTATTATCCTCTTTTCTAGAAACTTGGAGAATTTAGGGATCAGCTTTACTGTAGAGAATTTCTTCTTAGTTCTCTCATTTCATATTTCATCCCCCTCGTTATCACCCCCAACCATTGTCCCATCTTTACTTTACACACCATGAAACCGGTATCAATCAACTCCTGGTGCATTGGACAACCTTGGGGCAACTTATTAGGGATAATAAAACAGCTCCAAATAATATTAGGCCCCTGTTTGGTGGAAATTAAAATTAAGATTTTAATCTAAATCAAAGTCAACAATTAATTTCAACTGCACCTTTCATGGGAGTTGGGACCCACAACATTTCAATAACACATTTCATCATTCTCTTAAAATCTGCTAAAAAACTGATTTTAATCCCCATCAAACAAGGGCTAGAATTAGATGAACAAGAATGAGAATAAAGAAGGTGAAGAATAAGGAAATGAAAGAAGGGCTTCAACTTCATGGCAATTGTTGCTGGTGGTGAAGGCATTCTTTCTTTATACTACTAGCCATATGAATGAAACTAGTTAGGGTTTTGCCTCTAGCTAAAGCTAATAAATCTCGAGCTGATGGTGGATCATCATACGCACCTACCATATCATTTGCGTTTACCATTTGGGATTTGAACTCAAGCTAGCTAATAATGTCAACCTTGCAAAGGAACTCAACTCAGTTTACTTTCTTTTTTCACCCTAAACTTCAGATAATTTGATCCAAACCTAACCATACAAAGTACCCCTATTTTTGAGAAATACCGCCCTCAAGGTTTGAACTCTGCAGTATATAAAATCTCAACCAATGGTGTTGCTACAGGCTCATAACTTGCAACTCTATTGAGTTATAAACTCCGATGGGCAAACTAATAAGCGAACTATCTGACTGAAAACAACTAATCTGGAAAAAACAACTAAATCAATTACTGAATGACCTTCAGGATTATGGGTAAGTCCAGATTGCTCAAAATCAATTTCATTCCCATTTCATCCTCAACTGCTCCATTGTGTTCATGCTCAACATATTGCATCATATCTTTGACAGAAGTTTCAGCTATTTCAACCATACTTTTCTCTTAATCTTTGTACTCATCAATATAAACAGGCTGTGAAGTTGCAAGGGCAACTTTGACTCTGAAGGGACGGGTTCCAATTCAGAGAAAAAACTCAAGAGATATTTGTCCTCCATAAACGTAAGAGATGTCTTCAGTCCTAATGAATCTGTTATACAACAAAGCATAGACCACCCTATAAACAGAGTTTATCTATTATGTCAATATCTTCAAGGAATCCAATCATAGTTGCTCTTGGAAGCTCTATGAAAGTCACCCATGTTCAGAAATTATTAGGACTAAAATACCCTAGACTCTCGATACAAAAATAAACCCTAGATACTCAAATCCCAGCAGCTCATTAAAGTAAAACAGCACGACTTTCTGCCCAAGTTTCACACAAAATCCACCACCTATAAGACCAATCTCGACTCAATCCAAAACACACATACACAACATTCCGACCTTCCCCATCAGAAGTGCTAGTGGTCATAGCCTCCTTATACAGCCATTAGATGGAAAACTCATTCACAACACTTCAAGTTCTATTGTGCAAGCAGATCCGCGTTCTTTTTTAACTGGATCCATGTGCACTTTCCAGAATTCTGTTGTTTCACTTTTGTATATACTACTAAGTATATAGTATTTTAATGTATTTATGCTTGTTCAGTGTATTGGGCCTTAGTGTCTGTATGACTATCTATCATGTACCTTGTGGATGCCATATTCAGTTCATGCTGTGTGTTGTGGTTTGGTGCCTCACCCTTTTTCCAGAGTGTGCTAGCACTCTGGGCATTTGGGCATGTAAGGGTGTTCTCTGGCTGAAAATGAAACTGAAAATCAAATTAAGAATTGGAATTTTCGAGAGACAATGATCGAATACATGTTCGACACCAAATATTTCACTAAAACAAATAAAGCATTTGAAGATTTTAGGATAAGAAGTTTTATTTACAAGTCCTCAAAAGAATCACCAAAGGGAGTAAAGTTTGGATAATGAAAATCTATTCGGGCTGCAAAGAATATATCAATCAATAAAGATAAAAAAAATAAAATTAAGGTACATCAGATACAATTTTGATTTAATACTCACAAGGTAATGATGTATTCATTGTAAACTACACAATCGTGCCATTGTTGCTATCAAGGTCACTGCATATAAGCAGTCACCAGCACAGCGGCCGATTATGTGGACAATTTCAATAGATGTATACGCAATCAAGATTCAAAAACAACTCTACTGAATATTAACAAATATCTGAGAGTAATTGACTAATTTCTTACCTTCAGTTCTGGCAACTCGATAACACAAGCACACTCAACCACATCTACCCCAACTCGCTCTGCAATATAAAACTAACAAGATTAGATATTTAGGTCAAACAAGATTTGCCTTATTTTTCATTAGGACAGTTCACTCGGTCTCTCTCTTCTTTTAATCTTTAATTATCGCATTCTTATTGATTATATTAGCCTCACCCAAAAAGCGGGTTGACCTCTCATCAAAACCTAAAGGCGAATTTAATTTTCTCATGTTGAGAAAAGGGAGGGAAAGGAAGAAAAGACCAGGAGAAAAAAGCATACCAAGTAGGCGGATTGCAGCACTCAAGGTCCCCCCAGTAGCAATGAGATCATCCACTACAAGTGCCCGCTCTCCAGCTTTTACAGCCCCTACATGCATCTCCATTTTGTCTGTTCCATACTCCAAAGAGTACTCTTCAGATATAACCTCCCCTGTTATGGTAATGATGATTACGGGTTCAGTAACTTACAGATTGCTATGAAAAACATGCTCAAGTAATGCACTTGAAACTAAGCTAAGCAGGTAAACTTCTGAAATCGCACTAAAACTCACTAAATATCTTCAAAATAAACTGAGGACCAAGCCTAGATACCTTTCACAATATTAATATAGCAAAAGGATATCTCTGAAATTCAAGAATCAGGACAGTCTTTCTGCCAGAAACTTGTTTTGGTAGACAACCCAGGACAGTATAAGAAGTTCATGAAGCATGGACGAAAGTGAATTTAGCCTTGGAAACCATATGAAGAGTACATGTACATGATTACTCAACATGATGGCAAATTTAATGCAGAGTCCGATAATTTCAACAATGTACGCAATTCATTATCTCGGCAATTTGTACAATACCCACATAATGTAACTTTAACACACTGACTATCTTGAAATTAGATATCATATAAACATGGACGCAGAAAAATGTCACATGAATGTATATTATTGAGTCCATAATGCTACAATATACTTTTGAAATATTATTTGTCATGACCTCATTCCACCTCTCACCTACAATATTTTATCACGTTTTTTCATCCAGTTTGAGGCAGCTAAGTTAGCAGGTTACTGGATCATTCGTTCAACCAGTGGGTCACTAGTCAAACAGGAATTGATCTCCTAACAATTTTCAAAGATTTCTATAAATTATTATTTGAGTTCCTTGATTCCTATGTATAATTTTTTATTTTCCAGGGGAAAATGGGAAGTTTAAAATGGTTTATTTTCAACAATAAAATAAATATCAACCTTTCTATTTTAGGATTATAGTTTTCTCTTTTGCAAGTAATGTATTTTTTTCTCCAGAGGGACATATAATTGATTTCTATTTTGATATTAAAATATTATTTATAGTAATAAATGGTTCCGATAGAAGGTGAGAAATATTTGTTGATTTTGATTCACAATGTGATCTTGTATATTGTGTATTTATATAAATATGTACACTATAAACTACTTAGAACACACATGTTATCTTCAGTTTTCATATGTTTATCAATTCTAAATTCATTTTTCTTTGTATAGGCAAAAAATTACCAAAATATTTCCTCTTAGTGCTTGATAATCAAATAATAAACGTTTACATAAAATGCTCCATCATAAAGATAACAAGAAAAACTTGACTTTTTACTTTGCATTGCAATTATTTTAGATGGCACTTTAAGTCTAATTTATTATTTGTGTATTGTATAGTAGCAAATTTAAACAATGTATGGACTAGTCTAGTGGGAGGTTGCCGGGCATAATTTCCAAGAGGCCTTGGGATCAAATCAACTAAACTATTATGTAAGCTTGAAAACCTTAACAGGTTTAAGTGAACCAATTCATCGATCTGGGATCTGGTTCAAGAGTATTACAATCAGGATTTAATAAAAAAGAATCTCATAACCGCATCTTAAATTTTTAAAAACTCATTTTCTGAAGAATAAAGCTAAGTGTACAACCATGGTTGACAACATTGGTTGACAATCACGTGTTTTCAAAATCCAAGCCTTTGACGTAGAAAACAGTTTATTAAAATGGATGAATATGATGCCAAATAAAATGTTGTCAACCAACATTGTCAACAAACATTGTATATATAGCATGATTCTTTTCTGAATTGGGTAACGCTATAATTAGTTATTTTACGTAAGATTATACAGAAAAGAGTGGAAAATAATGATTCATTTAGCCGATTCCAAATTAATTAGGAACAAGGTTTAGATTACAGTTGTAGTTATTTCTAAAAGCTATAGCGCAGTTGATTTCCCATCATCATGCATGACAAACTTTTACTAATAGATTTTTTGAAAAAACACCAATTTAGCATAAACAAGGCATGAGAGCGTATGTTCTTGCATTTTATTTATCTTTGTGTGTGTCTCTTTCACCCTGATAGAACATGCATCATATGTTTTAGACAACAGAACACATCATGAAAATTCAAAACGTGCTGTGAATACAACAGTGACCATCAAATAGACAAAACAGACAGATAGGAACAGAGAGCTATACCAGGTAACTTCTTAGGCTTTCTCATGGGAACAAATTTGGCCCCAATAGCCAACGCAATTGGAGGTCCAAATATAAAACCTCTTGCCTCGATGCCTGCACCATTTCAACAAGTATGATGCGGATTATAAAATTGCAACTGGTTTTGCCATTCATAAATGTTAATAAGCCAATGCATAATTAATCGACCAAGTTTCTTAATTGGCATCGATTATTTTGACTAAAGTATAGCTTTTTGTTAAATATTGAATAGTTTAATCGGCACAGATTATTCAAATAATCATCAATTTACTAAATATTTGGATCATAGAAGCTGGTCCACCTGCTGATTTTCAATTATGATTTGTTGAAGGTAGAATGTTCCTATAACCAAGCATTCAGCTTACATTATGACACTTCAAAATCTAATTCTAATAGCTGTGAAGTAAGACCTCTTTTTAACTTATTAAATGATCAATTTCAAAATATTAAATAATCAAAACCCAATAACCTTTAGCTATTGGAAACAGTAAAAGCTTTAAAAAGAGCACCACATTGTGCAATATCCTAAGAATATGCGAATATGAACCTGGAAAGAGAATAAAATTAACAAGTAACACGAGAAATTCTTTTCAATTAAAAAGTAAAAAAAATAAATAGATCGAGAAAGACAACCAATCACCTGCAACAACATTAATATTTTGGTCCTTGTATCTCTCAACAAACAAATCGATCGTGTCCTTAAATGCCTTGGGATCAAGAAGCAAAGTCGTTATATCCTGAAACATAATTCCTGCCCAAAAAAAAAAAAAAATAGTTCAATGATATCCTCCTCTACATGAATCCTTCAAATATATACATGGAATTGAATTCAGACGATTTTACCGGGTTTCGGGAAGTCGGGTATGACCCGTATGGAAGAGGAAATCCGAGAAATGCGATCATCAGTAGAATCAACAATTTGAGCAGCCATGTGTGAGGATTTGATTGGCTGCAGTAGTATTCGCCGGAGGCGGTAGATGGAGGAGTCTTTCTCCTTCAAGCAGTTGGGGTTTTAGTGTCAGGTAATAATTTTACTTTGACCGAATTGCCACCGTGATAATTACATTCAGTGACAATTTTAGCCCCAGATATTTCGAGGAACAATGGTGGCCATGACCAGGTATTTAAAGAAGAATGAAGGGTAAAATGGGATAGGACAATAATTAGAGGAGAAAGAAACAAGAGTTAGGTGTATTTCAGTTAGGGGAATAAGAAAAGTTAATTATATTCGCGCCACAATTTCTACACATTTTAAGATTATTAATACCTTTTCATTATTACAATTATATTCTTAACTTTTGTTTCATCATATTCTTTTTTTTTTTTTTGTAATTCTGTCAAATTTATAGGAAATTTACCATCTATGGTCTTTGAAACTTTTTGTTGAACCAAAATCTCTTTCATCTTTTGTTGTCAAATTGAAAAATCCCCTTTCCCATTGGAATTTCTAATTTCCAAATGTGGAGACATTTGGAAAAATAGAACAACAAAAAATACACAAATAGGTCACACAAAGTAATCATAAGGCAACAATATACACCGTTCTAGATTTCCAAGGTTTTGTAAGATTTACAATCTTAGATCAAGAGAATGTTCGAACGGGTCAAGTCCAAGCATTCTAATAGGATATTCAATGCAACATGAAGGTATGTTAGAAAAAAATTCAAATTTCCACGCAATACAGTCTCACACAATGACCAGCTAACAATTAGAGAACAAAATCAATAACCAACTTGCGATCAATATTCAACACTTCAAATAGAGCAAATAATTCCTAAATTTCTAGTGTAAGCAATGGTTACCCCTTCATGGTAACCCTAATCCTAATGTCACCTCATACGATGACGAGCTAATGCTGAAATTTAAACGAGATAAGCCAATTTACCAAAGTGAACCTATTTGAGTCTGTAAATTATGATAGATATAAATTTATCAATTTAGGGCCATCACTATTCGCCCTAAAGTCTCAAGCAACTGCAGCAACTAGCCAAGCAAAAAATTAAATCACAAGCGTGCAAGGACAAAATCATCCAGATTCCACTGTATAATCTGAAATACAAAACTAACAATATCATTACGTTCAAGAAATCAAAATAACCACACTGCCTAAAGAAATCGTCCTAGGAAACTGCACACACGTGCCACTGCCAGAGTTTCCACACGCCGCCACTGACCACAACGTACGGTTGACCCAGGTGTGCCTCTACCTGTTGATGCTTCTTGTGGTGCTGGATTCTTCAAATGGCCATTGGTTTGGCCGGAATTCAGGGTTGCAGGTCTGATTTTTGGGAGAAAATGGGCTACTTCGTTTCTGCCGGAATTCTGGGCCATTTCTAGTCCTTTTTGGCCAAAAACTCACCAGCAATCAACAACCCAATCCCAAACCAAAACACCCAACCGGCTGTTCACAAATTTGTCCAAAAAGGTCAAGGTGTAGAATATAGTAGCCTCAAGGTTCAGCCACAAGGGTTAGTGAAGAAGGAGGAGACAAGGTCCAGTCAAGCACAAAGCAAGACCGGGAAGCACAAAGCCAAAAAAAGGGATACTGCATTTCTTTGCACGAACTGGCTGCACAAGTTTCACACACGTATCAAACAGTAACGGGGCAGCATATACAAAGGTAAGGGTGTGTGATCTTAGGTTAAGGAATAGTAGAGGCCCAATAGGTAATATATAAGTGGGCAATCAACCGAAAAGCCTTCCAAGGTAATAGGTCGAGCCATGAGTAGCACTAATAAATTAGGCTACTTCAAATGGCCCAAAAAAGGTTGTAGTATCGGTCTGAACAATTGTGGTATTAGTATTTCACTTCACTCATCAGCCAAGGTTTATGAAGTATAATCCAATCAAAAAAACGGTTTAACATCATTGTCCGTGATTTATTGGGTATCAAAACCTAATATCATTAACGAAAATAAGTCAATACACTACAATTATAGCCTACATATTTTGATAATATAAAAACTTCGTATAATTACATCATTATCAATATTGGCAGATGAATTTTACTACTTGTATAGTTTTGCTTACCATCTCATTGACATATGTTGAGCCATCAATGAGTAAATCAAATTGAATATATGAAGTAAATATTTGAAATAAAGTTCAAATTTAATCTAGGAAGTAAATGAAATTCAAATTCAATGTAAATGTAATTCAAAAGTGTTGTATTAATTATGCCCAAATTCCTGATACCAATTGTTTAGAATTCAAGAATCACATATTGTTCGATACCACTTGATATGAAATCAATCATCGGATTGAGATGTTGAAGTTATATGACACAATAATGAAGTATTTGATAACAAGTAAAAAAAAAGACAAGAAAATATGACAAAAGAATTAAGAGATTTTATTGCACCACAAATAATGAAGATGGATAAATATTACAATGATCTTAAAAGTTAGTAATAACTTTTCTCACATTATTCTCACATCATAAAATTGTAGAGAAGAACCAAGTATATATAGGCAATTATGTAGGATGACGTCCAACCCTAATAGATGAGTTGTTGTTGAAGTAAAATGTCAAAAATCGTGTTAAAACGCAAAAAGGGTCTAGGCTGGATAACCCTGTCTCTCGAGCGATAAGTTAGCGACATGCTAGCAAAAGGTCCATCGCTAGGCTGACGACAAGCGAGCAACCAAGTCTCAGGAGAAAGTCTACAGGTATTGCTCGAGCAGCTAGCTGGAGGCAAGCTAGTGAAAATGCGGTGACTTTTCTTTCTGATCCATAATTTCAATATCTTCAAGTTCAATACAAATTCCAACTCCAAATAGGGCTTCCAAATAAAATTTCAACTTGAATAAGACTCCAATAGCATTCCAAAATGAATTTATCTTGACTTGCATTTCAATTAAAATTTTTCAATTATTTCAACAAGAAATTAGAGTCTCACCCAAACTCTAAGTAATTTAAATTACATTTAAAACGTAACGATCCTAAAATTCTTGACATCATGCTCCATGTAAAATTTCCTAATAAAATGATAAAATTATATTGAGAAATTTGCAGTGCAAAAATAATAAACGTTAATAAATAATTAAATTTTTTTTTTAAAGAAAGACGAGTTAAACATCGTTGAGATGTACGTTTGACGAACATTTAACTATTTTCAATATTCATTTGGATAATTCGATATGATCGTAATATAGTTCTCAAAATGAGTTTCTAGATGTTGTAAAGTGGATTCAGCTAGCATACAAGTGTCGACGAATTTTTAAAGTTAGCATATTATTAAATTTTTTTAAAATAATAGTTTGGAACGGCCTACTTTGATCTACCGTAACTTTTGCTAGATTGGTCGTTACACGTGCCATTAACGAGCGGAAAATTAGGTTATGAGGATTTCAAAATGGTATTAAGAATGTAATGTTTTGACTTCATTTGGCATTCCGTAAAAAAACTACAATTTTTTTGGGAAAAAAAATCAAAAATTTTGTGGGGGTCATTTGTGCCCATGTGGGTCCGCCCATGTATACAGTTTCTTGTGATTTTAGTAGGAAAATAAACTTCCATGAGTGACACCAACGATTATTATAAACGGTTAGGGCCATGTTGGCCTTGTCCGTCCAAGGAGCACACGTGGCGCCCCTATTGGTTGGAGGTCTGTGCTCCATACGTTGCCCTGTCCGTGTAGCAAGGCTTAGAAATTGCTGACATAATATTTTAAGAAGTTAAATAAAATAAATAAAGAAAGAATAAATTATCATTAATATTGGAGAATACTTTTCTCTCAACAATCAGAAATCAAAACACCCACAACGTTGTCATTAGTCGTTGCTCATGGCGATGCGTCAGCGATGATTGACAATAACATTAACTATATTCAATCTAAATTATGAGTAATATTAATTTTTGATAAGTCGGACCCATTAAATGACATTTATTAATTTAAATGAATCAGAGCTTAATTATGTTTTAATTTTTTTTGTTAGAAAAAAATCGAGACAAATTGATTGAATTAGACAAAATTAAAAATTAAAAAAAAGGAAGAAAAAAGAAAGAAATTCAAAGTTTGGGACTAACTTGCACACTTTTAATAGTTGATTCGGACCTAAGATCAATTATTGGACGATGCACGAACCCAATTGGCTGAAATTGAAAGCTAAAGGATCAAAATTGCATGAAATTATCTCAAGAACGAACTCAAATTGAACAAGGAGCAATTAAACGAAACTTAAAATGCTGAGACCATCGTGCAATAAAAAGGCACGTGCGGAGTGAAAGCCCGGATCCTGAGAAACAAAGTCATAGGCGCGTAGGTTTAAGGCCATACAGACTACTCCAAGAGCACTCATCCATAAATCGGTTACTGGTACAAATAATCAATTCTCATTTTCAACCACACATTTTTCAATAAAATAATATTTTTCATCACATCAATAATCTTATCTTCTTTTTCAACCACACATTTCCCATCATATCACTATTCAAAATCAATTCTTCCCCCAAAAAATCCCTACCAAATACACACTAAATGACATATTCACTTAAATGTAATGTTACATAATTTATTTAGAGCATGTTTGAGTCATTTTTTGCTAAAATGTATTTTGGAATAGTAATTTGATGGAGAATGTGTATTTAAAAAATAAGAAAATATTTTGAATTTACGAGTAATATTATTTTATTGAAAATTATATAATTGAAAATAATAAAGAGAAAAATATATTTTAAAAATAATGAAGATGATGGGATTAATTAAAATATAAATGTAACCAATTAATGCTCTAACACCATTTGGTATAAAATGATGGAACTTGACGACGAGTTATGACAAAATGTCTTTTCAAGTGCGAAGAGAACAAAAGAGTGTGGGAGTGGTGGTTGGACCTTTAAAATATTTTAATAATATAAATGATTTTTTTTTTTTGTCTTATTGGTGTACAATAGTAACATTCATCTGTATATAAACAAGAATCAATCAT